AAACTTGGTAACTCAGGTGAAATGGCCAAATTCCTTGAAAAACATAAACTACAAATGTTCTCCCAGAAGACTGAGATAACCTGAACAGCCCTGTTTTATTAAAGAAATTGCAATTAAAACTTTTCACACAAACGAAAGGAAACTTGGAGCACCAGGAAGAAAAAGCAATGTAAACCTCCAGGTAAATGTAATAGGCCACAAGTTGACACTCTTTCTGTAAAGGGCCAGACAGTAACCATTTGAGGTTTTATAAGCCATGGTTTAAATGACAACTGTTCAACTCTGCTGGTATAGTGTAAAAGCAAGATAGACAACATGTAAATGACTGAGTGTGGCTATATTCCAGTAATACTCTCTGCACTTTGAATACTAACTTTTTCAGAGGACATATTATTCTTTTGATTTTTTCAACCACTTACAAGAGCGAAATGAACCCAAAGCAAGCAAAAGCTAAGAAATAAGAAGCAGATATCAGTGAAATTGGAAACAAACAATGGAGAGAATTCACACCAGAAGCTCATTCTTTGAAAGATCAGTAAAACTGACAAGCCCCTAAGTTAAATCAGTGAAGGAAAAAAGATGCAAATATATCAGGAATGTCTTGATTTGCAGGTGACATGATTTCTATTTAGAATATTCTAGGGAATTGCCAAAAAGCAATTAGAATAAGGTTTAACAAGGTTGCAAGATATAATATCAATATAAAAAGGCAACTATTTCTACATGCTAGCAATTAATCAGAAATAGACATTTTTAAAAATATCATGTACAATAGCAATAAAAATATGAAATACTTAGGGATAAATCTGACAAAAGATATGCAAGATTCACACTGAAATCTAGAGAGCACTGCTAGAAGAAATTAAAGACCTAAATACATGGAGAGCTATACTGTGTTCAGGGGTTAGAAGACTCAGTATTGTTAAGATGATGTCTCCTAAATTGATCCATTATTTAAGGCAATCTCAATCAAAACCCGAACAAGTTCTTTATAAAAATTGACAAACTAATTCTAAAACTTATTTGGAAATGCGAAGGACTTATAGTAGCTGAGACTATTTTGAAAAAGAGCAAAGTTGAAGGATTTACACTATTTGATTTTAAAACTTATTACAAAGGTACAGCAATCAAGACAATAACAGATCACTGGAACAGAAGATTCCTAAAATAGACCCACATGTACATGGCTAGTTGATTTCAACAAAGATAGCATGCTAATTTAATGAAAAAAATAATCTTTTATTTTTTTTTTTTAATTTATTTAGAGACAGCACAAGAGCAAGAGCACAAACAGGAGAGGGGCAGAGAGAGGGAGACAGAGAATATCCCAAGCAGGCTCTGCACTGTCAGCGGAGTTCACGAACTTCAAGATCATGACCTGAGCCAAAAGCAAGAGTAAGATGCTTAACAAACTGAGTCACCCAGGTGCTCTAGAAAAGATAATCTTTTTTTAAAAATGTGCTGGATCAGGGGCGCCTGGGTGGCTCAGTCAGTTAACGTTTGACTACAGCTCAGGTCATGATCTCATGGTTTGTGAGTTCAAGCCCCACATCAGGCTCCAGGCCGTGGAGACTGCTTCGGATTCTGTGTCTCCCCCCCTCTCTCTGCCCCTCCCCTGCTCGCTCGCTCTCTCTCAGAAAATGAAAAAACACTAAAAAAATTTTTTTAAAAATGTACTGGATCAAATGGATAGCCAAAGGGGGGGGGTGGGGTGGGGAATCAACTTACACCATATAGGATTTAACAAAAATAGATCACAGATTAAAGTGTAAAAAGCTAAAACTATACAGCTTCTAGTAGATAATATAGGAAAAATCATAGTGAATCTTAGTGACTTGGGTTTGGCAAAGATTCTTTAATACATGACACAAAAAGCAGGAATTATAAAAAGAAACTGATAAATTGATAATTGATAAAACTCTTCAAACAACACTGTTAAAAAAAATTAAGTAAAACCACAGACTAGGAGAAAGTATTTGCAAAACACGTATCAGACAAAGGACTTATATTCAGATTACATGAAGACTTTTACAACTCAGTAATAAGGCAGCAAACAACTCAATTTTAAAAATCAGACAAAAGATTCGAACATACAAAAAAGGCACATGTTCAGTATCACTGGGCTCTGGGGAAATACACATGAAAACCACAATGAGATACTATCAAGCACCTATCAATGACTAAAAAAAACTAACCATACCAAGTGTTGGTCACAATGTGAGCAACCAGCAACACTGCTGGCAGGAAGGTAAAATGGTACAACCACTTTGGAAAACAGTCTGGCGGTTTCTTAAACTATTAAACATAGATCTCCCATATGATGCACCCATTCCACTACCAGGTATCTTCCCAAGAAAAACAAAAGCATATTTCCTCAAAAAGACTTACAATGAATGCTCACAGCAGCTTTATTTGTAACAGACCCAAAATGGGAAAAACCTATATAACCTGTCCACAGGTGAGCGAATAAACAAATTGAGGTGATATTCACACCAGGTAGTACTACTAACAATAAAAAGGGACCAACTACTGATACATGCAACAAATATGGAAAACTCTCACAAGAATTATGCTCAATGAAAGAAGCCAGGCAAAAAAAGGAGTGCATACAGTAGGATTCCATTTACCTAAGACTCAAAAATGGCATTCAATTTATAGACAGAAAGCAGACTAGACTGGAGACAGGAGGTGGGGAGGAAGAGTAGGATGGAGGAAAGAGTTACAAAGGGACACCAGGAAACTTCTGTGGGTGATCACTGTGTTGTTTCACAGGTGTACACATGTCATAAGTCATCAAACTGTATACCTTAAGTATGTACAGATTATGGTACTTCAATTATACTTCAATAAAGCTGTAAAGAAAGAAAAAGAGTAGAATAATGTCAAGTACTGAACTTTGCAGAATCTTGACCCTTCAGGGTAGACGAAAGGGAATCACGAGAGGAGGAAGAGAAGAACTGATCACATGCAGGATAAGAAGCAAACTATTAGTTATCAGAGAACCTATCTAAAAAAGTTTCAGGGAGTTGTAATGATAGAGAAACGAGTTGTACTGATAGAGAAATTAGGAAAGTCGGTGGCTAAGAAAAGACCAGTAGATTTGGGATTAGAAGATATGTATTAGGTTAGCGTCCAGCTCTGGATTTTGGCTCAGGTCATGATCCCAGGGTGGTGGAGCAAGCCTGGCACTGGGCTCCGTGCTGAGCATGGAGCTTGTTTGAAATTCTCTCTCTCCCCCCACCTCTGTTCCTCTCTCCCACTCTAAAATTAAAACAAACAAACAAAATACAAAGAGAGGAGTACTGAAGCCAGAATGTCAAGGGTTAGCAGAATGGGAGGTCAATGAGTTGCAGCAGGACAGCACTCATTGGAGTAGTAAAACAAAAGGCAGAGTTAATGTAAGACAAGTTTCACTCATTAGTTATATGCTCCTTTCCTTCTTTTTGGAAAAAGAAAAAAAAGTTTATTTTTGAGGCAGAGAGCGTGAATGGGGGAGGGGCAGAGAGAGAAGGAGACAGAGGATCCAAAGAGGGCTCTGCACTGACAGCAGCAAGCCCGATGTGGGACCTGAACTCATGAACCAGGAGATCATGACCTGAGCTGAAGTCGGACACTCAACCAATTGAGCCACCCAGGTGCCCCAGTGCTCCTTTTCCTTTTTTTTTTTTTTTTTAACGTTTATTTATTTTTGAGACAGAGAGAGACAGAGCATGAACGGGGGAGGGTCAGAGAGAGGGAGACACAGAATCTGAAACAGGCTCCAGGCTCTGAGCTGTCAGCACAGAGCCCGACGTGGGGCTCAAACTCACGGACCGCGAGATCATGACCTGAGCCGAAGTCAGCCGCTTAACCGACTGAACCACCCAGGCGCCCCTCCTTTTCCTTCTTGATAATCACAACAACATAGAAGGATTTATGTCTCACTCGCATCATAATCAAAGATACTGCATTGAACTACTGTAGCATTAACAACTTTTTTTCCAGAACCAAAACAGTATTGACATTTACATGAATATATTCCCTAGAACTTTATCCACCTTCTCACAGCTCAATACCTAAGAAATGACTGATGGGAGAGGATGCTCTGGTCACAACCCTGTTGAAGACTTGCTCGAGAATTTCTTGTCTGATCATCTCATGGATCTAAAAAGAACAGGCAATAAAAATATTCCATGGTGATCTCCAGCTTACAGTTGTATCAATTCATGTTAGGCAGTATGAAAAACAGTCTGGATAGAAGTATAACATGACTTTATTTCAAAACTGTTTGTTTATTTTTGAGAGAGAGAGAGAGAGAGAGAGAGAGAGAGAGACGGAGCATGACTGGGGGAGGGGCAGAGAGAGGAGGAGACAGAACCCAAAGCAGGCTCGAGGCTCTGAGCTGCCAGCACAGAGCCCGACAAGGGACTCGAACTCATGAACTGTGATACCATGACCTGAACCGAAGTCGGACGCTTAACTGACTGAGCCACCCAGGCACCCCATGACTGTTTATTTCAAAGACAGATATACTGTCAATCATCTGGAAAGATAGGATCACTCAATTCTAGCCTCACTCTGTGCTCAGGTGACTCATTAGCAGGGCAAACTACCATGTTTATTAGCCCAAAAGAGAGCTCACATGAAAGTATTGCCACATGTTCGGTTCAGCATCAAACAGAACTAATTCTTCTTAGGTATCCATTACATGCTAATACCCATATTTCTGACAGTATGCATGACTTATTTTAAAAATTTAAAAGCCCATGAAAATTTCTGGAAATCTCAAAAATCTTCACCAAACCCTTCCTCGGTTTCTGGAAGGACAGTAGTCACCTTAAAAAAGAACTGTTTTCAATTTTCACTCAAATTCTTACATGAACTTGATTACTTCCAGGTACAGACTAATTTCTTTCAGACATCAAACTAACAACAGATTATTAGTAAATTATATTTTCTATAGATGCCTTGACAAAGCCAACATCTGTGTAAAACCAAAGGGAACCTCACTAGTTTTAAAAAACATTAATTTAAAAACAATATTGGGGTGTACGGGTAGCTCGGCTGGTTAAGCATCCAACTTTTGATTTCGGCTCAGGTCATGATCTCACAGTTTGTGAGTTCGAGACCTGCACTGGGCTCTATGCTGACAGTGTGGAGCCTGCTTGGGATTCTCTCTCTTCCTCTCCCCGTCTCCTGCTCCTGTGTGCACACGTTGTCTCTCTCTCTCTCAAATAAACTTTAAAAAACATAAAAACCAAAAAAATATTAAAATCTTTTATTCTTTTAATCAGATTACTATTAAGAAGGGTCATTTATATCATCTAACACACAACTCTCAAGGACTACTGTATGCATTCACTTCATTATTCTGGATCAGAACCCTAGATTTACATTTAAATTGGCCCCCAAATAACATTTCCAACAGACACTTTTGGCGTGTAGCTACATCAATTCAATGTCAAGAAGATGATGTAGAGCAATCATTAGCAAAGTTGTTTAGCCTCATAATCTAGCTTTTGTTTTAGCTGAAAGGAAATGAATTTTTAAAAGCTGTTTCAGAAATTAAGATTGAGATGATCATTGTCATATGGTAATGAATTAAAAAATAGAACTATTCTGAGTTCTTCAAAAACAGTGAACCAAAAAACATGATTCTTCAAGGTGGATGTTCTACAGTGACCTAAAAGATTTCTTGTATAAGAGCATCCAAAGAAGCTCCCAAACAGAAAATGATAAAAAATGATTTACTACTGGAGGAAGAAGAGGAAATCATAAAAATCTAATTGACATTTGAACATCTAAGAAAGAGAAAAAGGGGAAATTAAAACACATGAAAACCTAATACAAATAAAGAATGAAAATACAAACATTCCATCAAGCTGAATCTGTCACATTTCAATTACTATCCCGAGTTCTGTTCCTGGAAACCGCTGCACACTCAAAACTTCCTTGTCCTCCAAGCTCCCAGGCAAACGCCATGCCCCATTTATAATTTCATAGAATTAGGGAATGGCTGCCAAACTAGGGTCTCACCTTAAAAGTTTCCAACAGGATATCAGCTCCCAGTTTACAAGCATGCTGGGTTGGTTTTTTAGAAAGACATGAGCTGGTTTCAATAGCTTTTCCATCAAGAATCTTCTTTGGCCCATATGAATCCATTAAAATGAAGCCAAGTTCTACCAGGCCCTGAGTAACATGATCCCAACTATGAACACTGCAAGAAAACAAAGCTTAGTTAAAAAAAAAAAAAAAAAAAAAAAAAAAAAAAAAACTTAGGAAGATACTTTACCTTTATATTCATTGTCATGTTTACACATTTCCTAAACTTGACCTGAATCATCAACACTATTCACATGAACCTTTTCTTCTCATGATCCTTATGTCAGAATTCTCAATTCCTGGATGTACAGTGTTTCCACTAACAGAACACTGGGAAAATCCAAAAACTACAAAATATTCAAAAACATACGGACAAAACTGGAATATCTCAGTGTACTGACCATTATACGTTTCCATTCAAGATTTCATAACTGGAAGTTAATTGTTGCTTCTTCTACCTCTCCTATGACACTAACAACACTTAAAAAAAATTTTTTTAAATGTTTACTTATTTTTGAGAGAGACTGAGCATGAGCAGAGGAGGCACAGAAAGAGAGAGGGAGACACAGAATCCAAGGCAGGCTCCAGGCTCCAAGCTGTCAGCACAGAGTCCAGTGTGGGGTTCGAACCCAAGAACCATGAGATCATGACCGAGCTAATGTCAGAAGCTAACCAACTGAGCCACCCAGGCACTCCAACACTAACAACACTTATTTTCTATACATGCTTATAAATTTTCTCTATAATAGAGACCACCTTGTAGTCCTATTTTTACTCATACAGCCTGGCATAAAACCAGCATTTAGAAGGCACACAATAAATATTTATAGCAGGGATATTTGCGTTCATATTTATACATTCATATATTTATATCATATTCATCTTATAGTATGAATCAATGCACGATCGGATTTCAAAAGCATGAGCTAAAACTACAAATAACCTTTTGCATAGCAACAGAATCCTTGGTCATTTTATACCATTTAATGTTACCCACTCTAGTAGAAACGATATGCTTATAGTAACATTTCTATCATTATATCTACCTGCTAAACAGCTGCAAATTATAATACAGCATTAAAGAATAAAGGAGGCAGTCGTGAACAGATTCTCATAACATTTTGACAGACTTTAATAATATTCACTCTGGAGATCTGGGATCAAGATAATGGACTGAGCACATGCTCCAGGCTTCTCACCCCAAATACCTACAAATGATAGAGAAGATACACACACCTGTGTGCATATGCCTAAATACAGTGCATATATACAACCCATAATAATGTGGAAAAACAAGAGGCATTTTTGACAGACTAGAAATTATAAAGAATCCTTAAAAAAAAATAATAATAAAGAATCCTTAAAAAGTCAAAGAAATATAAGGGCGCCTGGACGCCTCAGTTGGTTAAGCATCCAACTCTTGATCTCAGCTCAGGTATTAATCTCAGGGTCGTGAGATCAAGTCCCATGTTGGGCTCCCCTCTAGGCAGGGAGCCTATTTAAAAAAAGAAAAGTGAAAAGTAATCTAACACGAGAACGAAAGATGAAGCCACTGACCACACAGTGCAAAATGAAGGGGTGGCTCCAAAAGTAGATACCAAGGGCAGATATGCCAGGCACTGGCAGGAACTCTGGGGCAACTTCTGTGACGACTGGCTGGAATCCCCCCACACGATCAGCTGGGTACACAGCATCCTTCCCTGTACCTTCTTCCCCAACAGCTCACCATACGCCCCCAGTTTATGCCAAGAAGTGAGCAACACTGAGCCTGTTGAGAGGTGGGATCTCTGAGTGGAGGAGCTTTGGCCTAAGAGGCAGAGCAGCACTGAGAGTACGGCAACATGCTGCAGAATCAGGGAGGCTAAGTCCTGGCACCCCCTACCTCTAACGTTACATCAGAGGTAAGTTGTATTAAACAAACATGGCATTCTCAGACAAATCAGGGAACTCCAAAAGTAATAATGAGACGACCAATAACCACCACACGTAAGAAAAAAATACCACCTTGAAAGAAAGGCATCAAACTCAATGAAGAGAACTAACAACTGAGGTAAAAGGAACCAACAGAAGGAGATTTTAAAAGTCTAAAAAATATCCTTAATAAGAATATTACAGCATGAAACAAAAAAACACTTATGAAAAATGAACCAATTGTCAATTTTAGAAATGAAAAACATGACTGCTGGAGTGTAAAATTCAGCAGTTAAACCTAAGAGTAAAATAAACAGAGCTGAAGAACAAATTAATGAAATAAGAGAACTAAGGGATTTTTGTAGAATTTCACATAAAAAATAAAAATATGAAAAACTTCAAAGAAAAATTAAGAGACATGGCACACAGATCAAGAAATCCTACAGCTGGGGTGCCTGGGTGGCTCAGTTGTTTACGTGTCTGACTTTGGCTCAGGTCATGATCTCACGGTTCATGGGTTCAAGCCCTGCGTCCAGCTCTGTCTGAGCTGACAGCTCAGAGACTGGAGCCTGCTTTGGATTCTGTGTCTCCCTCTCTCTCTGCCCCTTCCCTGCTTGTGCTCTCTTTCTTAAAAATACATTAAAAAAAAAAAAAAATTCCTATAGCTAATAGAAGAGAATGGAGATAAAGGGAGGGATCAATCAAAGAAAATAAGAAAAACAGAGTTTAAGAAAGACATGAATCCTTATAAGTGAAAGGGCATACCAAGTATCAAGCAGGAATGAATTTATTTACTTAATTTTTTTAATGTTTATGAGAGAAAGACAGAGCATGAGCGGGAACGGGGCAGAGAGAGAGGGAGACACAGAATCCAAAACAGTCTCCAGGCTCTGAGCTGTCAGCACAGAGCCCGATATGGGGCCCGAACCCACAAATCGTGAGATCATGACCTGAGCTGAAGTCAAATACTCCACCGACTGAGCCACCCAGGCACCTCAAGCAGGAATGAATTTAAAAAGGAACTTCTGTAAATTGTGTTAAATTTCAGAATATCAAAAATAGAAATGAAGTCTTAAAAATTCCCATCAAGAAAATAACAGATTATCTACAATAGTACAAAGAATCAGATAATCATCAAACTTTCATTAGTAATTCTAGATGGAAAAAGACAACGAAAAATGATTGTAAACTTAGAAGTCAAACTATTGTTCAGATGCAAGGGCAATTTGAAGACATTTTCAGATATGACAAGCCAGATTACTTATCCTAATGTTAAAATTTTTTCAACGTTTATTTATTTTTGGGACAGAGACAGAGCTACGGAGACGGGCAGTAAGAGAGGGAGACACAGAACTGAATAGGCTCCAGGCTTCTGAGCCATAGCCCAGAGCCCGACGCATGCGCTCGAACCACGGACCGCCAGATCGTGACCTGCTGCTGAATGGACGCAACCGTACACATGCACCCAGGCTACCAGTCCTTTACTTTTTTAACGATTTATTTATTGATTGATTGATTGAGAAAGAGGGGGAGAGCAGAGAGAGAGGGAGACAGAATCCCTAAGTGCAGGGTCAGGAGGATTGCCCATCTCAAGCACATGAGTCGTTGCTTAACCAACTGGGAGTACCCAAGGTAGCCAAAAGTTTACAACAAACCATATCAGAAAGGAACTTCAAAAATTATACACTTATGGCATATTTTCAAGAGAAAAATATGAGACTCAAAAGAGAGGGAAACAAAGAAACCAGTCAAATTTACTATGATGCCTAAATAAGTGCTTATTAATACTTTGGGCTGTGCTCAAGTCGGTTAAGTCGAGTTACAGCTCAGGTCATGATCTCGCGGTCTGTGGGTTCGAACTAAGGATGGGTTCTGTGCTGTACAGCTCAGAGCCTGAGCCTGTCTCAGATTCTGTGTTCCCTCCCTGACCTCCCCTGTTCATGCCTGTCTCTCCCTGTCTCAAAAATAAATAAAACGTTAAAAAAAAAAATTAAAAAAAAAATAATCTTAACAAGAAGGAAGTGGAGAAACAATGTGTGCATTGAGGTTCTCATCTCTGAGAAAGTAGATTACCGTCCATTTACTACAAAATATCTAACTGTAACGCAAAAGATTTCATACATGATTGTTAAACAGGGGAGTAAATATAATCTGGAAGTTGTACTGGTTCATATGTGATTTTTTTCCTAGTACACTAACGTTTTGCACCTTTAAGTATCTGCAAGTAAACACAAAATATATCAACAGAGCTGAACACAGCAAACCATGGAGGAATACAGGACTGTTCATGATGCCCCTTACCCTGTTTTCTTCCTCTTGGCTTAGGCCACTGCAAATTGGTATCTGTGAAGTGTTTATTGTATGGTTCTTCCCAGTATTTGTGCATCTGGTTCTGGTATCCAGAATTTAGCCTCGATACTCCCCTTACTGTGCCTTTCCAGGTTACTGCAACTTGTTTAAGTGAAAATCCCATATTTACTGTAGCAGAACTTTTAAGTTAAGAATATATTGGGGAAAAAAGGAATATATCAAATGTCATTCTTTTCTATGGCTGAGTAATATTCTTGTGTGTGTGTATCACATTTTTTTTATCCATTCATCTATCATTGGACACTTGAGTTGCTTTCGTATCTTGGCTACAGAGAAGTAGATAAAGAGAATTAAGAGGAACTTCGAGTTGTAAGTCACAGAGATGAAAAGAACAGCATAGGGAATAATCAAAATATTTTAAAAATGCTGTATGATAATAGAAGATGAATATATTTATCACGGTGAGCACTGAGCAATGTACAGAACTGTCAAATCACTGTAACACTGCATGTTGATTTTACTTCAAAAAAGAGAATACATTGACTTTTTTAACTACACTTACGCTGATCGTTTTACAATACATACATTGAATCATGTTATACATCTGAAATGTTATTTATCAATTATATCTCAATTAAAAAAAATCAGTGTTCTAATTAGAATGTCATTTTATTTTTTTTAGTTTTTATTTTTTTGAATGTCAAATACATTTTAAGTCTAGTCGCCTTATTTTCCCCACAGGTACTATCATTTTTAAAGTGTTAATTTTTAAAAAGAGTTTTTTTTAGGAATACACTGTTATAACAGACATGCCAAAAATCAACACTAACCAAATACAATAGCACCAAAATGTGCTAAGTGGGGTCCAGAAATTTAATCATATACCATATAACATTATTTACAGGTTAATTAACTGACTGGAGCAAGTATGTGTAAATAACCAGCTGGTTATTCTAAGGAGTCTAGTAATATTCTCCAAATGCCTCCTCACTCAGGTTTGGTCCTACCTGGTGGTAACTGCCCACTCCACCCTAACTATAGATGGAGATGCTTCCAGGTCCTATGGCTGGGACTCCCAGGAGGGCAGCTTTCCAGGAATTTCCTGGCTAGCTAATATGCCTGTATCTTTAGCCCAACTTGAAGAGACTGGGTTGGGAAAATATAGGAGATACAACCATAAACCTCAGGAAAAAAGAAGAATAACCAGAAACAGAGAAGATAAAGAAGCTTTAAAGTTTATCAATGGGTAAACCACCCAGAAACAATGGATTCTAGCCTGAAATTTGCCTTATGTGCCAACCTCATGAAAATTCAATCTAAATCAGAATTCCCAGACGTGGAATGAGATCTACCTCAAATTATCATTTAAATCATAAAGCTTTAAAACTTACTTAATCCACAAAGCAAATATGACACAGTAAAGATTGTTACAACAGCTAATGTAGATCTTGAACTTAAAATAACATCCAGCATACCAGTCTTTTCAATTTGATTTAAAATGGATTTATCTAAAACTGCTAATTCAATTCCATCCATCAGCCTCAAACTTCAACCGTTAAATAAAACTTTTAATATTTTTTTTACTCACCTAAAAAGCCAATGAAGATTCAGGCCAAGAAAGAATTGCACCCACTTCAGTTCTGTATTCTTGTTATCAAGGAGGCCAAGAAATCAAGCCTTAGGATTTAAGGATTTTTTGATATAGGAACAGCTCACTTGACCAATTAATTTTAAGGGATTTACCCTTGATATGTGGAGTCAATAGCTGTAGTCCTCAATTTTCTCTGGTGGGCCACAAGTGTATCAGACTTCATCTTTTAACACCAAATACCTTATGAACCTACTGGGGTTTGGCTTCATGAACTCACCTATTCTTCACCACTTCCAAGATCAAGGTTGAAACACAAGACCTATGAGGGACTAGATTCTGAAGAAATTTTGAGCCTTGGAGAAGCTGAAGATCCTTAAAGCTTTTTACAATTGAAGTTTTTAAAAGGTCAAACACCTAATGTAATGAAAAAAATAGCAAAATGAAGAAAAAATGATAGCTCATGCTATAGAATCTGTTCACGCTCACTGCCATACACTCATTTCCCTAAAATGACTTTCACTAAATGAGTAGGATACAAAAATTAGGACTTTCAATGGGAACTTGAGACAAGCATTCCTTAGGAGAGAAAAAGGGCTAAAATCAATACTAATACTACCCACAACCAGGGAACACAGATGAAAAAAAAAAAGCGGTAAAGGATTTTATATTTTCGTCCCTGCAACTAGCCTGTTCTCATTAATTTCAACTCCATCAAGGACAATTTCTTAGAAAGCTACAATATAATAAAACTGCTGGTGAATTCTTCCTACTAAACTTCCTACTGTTGTCACTTAAGGGACTGTGTGATAGGTTTCCACTCTTCCTCCCACCTCACCATCTGGCTTTCCACACCACAGGAGATAAAGGTATGAACTAATTATCTGAAGACGTCTTCAGGTAGCCCCCAGAAAACAGCACAGGCCCACGTGTCTTATAGAGGAATTTGCTGCTAGTAGAATAGGCTAAAGAAGGGCTCTATTACTCCTTATCAAATACAAAAGGAACCAAAAAGTCATCAATAAATACCTGTTCCTCAAATCTTTGTATTCTTGTTATAGAGAGCAGGAGGGCAATGCTGAAGGGACATGTATTATTACTGAAATCTCCTTGCTGTCCTGTCTATAAAGAAAACAAAAAAGAGTTGTTATTTACAGTAATCTTAAAAGTATAACATAACCTATTGAAAACAATCTTTAAATGGATCAGGAACCTGTGATCAGAAACCTAGGACCTAAAACTACAGAACTTAAAAAACAAACAGTATCAGAAAATCTTTAAAACCTTGGATTAGGTGAAGATTATTTAAAAAAGCATAATTTTTATCGGAAAAAACGGATAAACTGGACCTCATAAAAATTCAAAACTTTTATGCTTCAAAAGATACCATTAAGATAAGTAAAAGACAAGCCACAAACTGGGAAAAACACTTGCTAATTATACACATGGTAAAGGACTTCTACCCAGAATATATAAAGAATTCTTAAAATAATACATGTAATCAAAAACTGACAAAAGACTTGAATAGACATTTCCCCAAAGAAGATAACAGAACAGCTAATAAGCACATTGAAGAAATGTTCGATTGTCATTAGTCATTAAGGAATTGCAAAGCAAAACTTCAGCGAGACACTGTTTCATACGTATTGGAATAACGAAAATAAAAAAGACAAGAACAAATGGTGAGGATGTGAAGAAACAAGAACCCTCATATAGTGCTGGAGGGAATGTAAAATGATAAAGCCACTTTGGTAGTTTCTTAAAAACGTAAACATAAATTTATCACACAGCACAGAAATTCCACTTATAGGTATCTATCCAAGAGAAATGAAAACATATGTCTTCACAAAGACCTGCATGTGAATTTCATAACAGCGTTATTCATAATAGCCAAAAAAGTGGCTACTCAAGTAGAAGTGAAACAATCTGAAGTGGAAAACAATTCAAATATCCATCAACTGATGAACAGCTAAACAAACTGATATATGTATACAACAGAATAACTATTCAACAATAAAAAGGAATGAAACACTGACAGAGGCTACAACATAGATGAACCTTGAAAACATTATTATGCTAAATGAAAGAAACCGTACACAAAAGATCATATATTGTATGATTCCAATTGTATGAATTGTCTAGAAAAGGTAAATCTGTGGAGACAGTAGATTAGTGGTTGCCTGAGCCTGGGGTTGGGAATGTGAATTAACTAAAAAAGTGTGAGGGCACTCTCTCGGGTGTTCTCTCTCTCAAAAATAAACATTAAAAAATATTTTTAGAAAGGAGGCAGAAGGTGCCTGGGTGGCTCAGTAGGTTAAGGGTCGAATTCGGCTCAGGTCATGATATCACAGCATGAGTTCGAGCCCCATGTCAGACTCTGTGCTGACAGCTCAGAGCCTAGAGCCTGCTTCGGATTCTGTGTCTCCCTCTCTCTCTGCCCTTCCCCCACTCAAAAATAAATAAACATTAAAAAAAAAATTTTTTTGTTAATGTTTATTTA